AGTGCTTCACAAAACTAGGATTTGATTTTTAGTGAGACTTTAGAAAGGCTCTGAATTCCAATTAAGGAAAAAAAGTATTTGTCAACACCCTTAATTTACAGTCTTTTTCTGAATATGAAATTTAAAAAAACAAAGGACAGGTAGATTCTGAACATACAACACTCTGAAAACAGTGATTCCACTATTCTGTCTTCAATCAAGGCATTTTATATTTTCAAATTAATTGCAAGAAAAACTATAGTGTTGCATGACTACAAACAGAAGATATTCTTAAAGTAAGTTGTTTGAGGTGAATTTTTAATTTGTATGTTCAAACTATGTCCAGCATTCTTTAAGAAGCAAAACAAGATGACTAAAGTGCAGTTGTCTTTGAACTTGATTTCTCTTCCTTACTCTTTTCTTCTACCATAGAACATCTGACACTCATGATATACCTTCACTTTTTCACATTACCTAATTGGTTTTGATTAAGCTGTTTCACATAAATAAAATCACTCACATTCTTAAGTATTTGAAGATTGTATTTTAAAATTGCTGTTTCCAGGTCTGTCCATTGCATTTTCAGGGACTGTACGCAACATTTCTTGAACACTAAGTTACTTTTGCTCTTTTCTCTATCAAAAACCTCTCCAAGAAAATCCTTGTGCAGAAAATAAAGGACAATGATAACAAAAACCCAGCCAGGATGGATACAATTGTTATAGAAAGAACTTGTAATAGCAGTGTTTGTTCAGCATTTGTTTGTCTCATAAAGCAGTAAGAAGTCAGAAACCTTCCAGCTGAACGATTTCCGCACAAGAGCTCAAGGTTCAGAGGAGAGGCACACAGAGCAAGACGTGTGCAGCCGCCAATAACACCTGTGCTGGACTCATTAAAGATTTAACCAGAGAAGTCACGTGTGCACTTAAAAATGGCTGACAACTGCCATGCTTAACACACATCTCAAAAACTTTGGGAAAAGGCAGAAAAATGGAGTTACCTTTGGATGAGGAGGATGGCACGTTTACCAGCATTTCTTTGGCAGATGATTCAGGTAAGAGACTGCAGTACTCTACACTACAATGCAAATTCCACAGGCTGAATAACAGCACTGTGGGAGCAGGCATATTTGTCCTGATTACCAGGTACAAGGTATTTTTAGCAAATTCACTCAAGCAAACTTTTTTTAGTTGAGTAGTTTGAATAAGCCTTGTGATGAGCTAAGAATAGAGGGTTTGGGGGGTATGGAAGCTACCACAGTTTTCATATATTAGCACATGGTAATATACACTCATCATCTGCACACATATCTCTCTCTTTCACTGGTTAGAGAGACACTGTTACAGAAATATTTACTCTGTAGTGACTACTATCAAATAAAATACAGATAATGATGCATACAGAATAATAAACCTCTGGCATACTACAGTGAAAACTCACAAGAAATGATGCAAGTTAATTGGTAAGGGAAATAGGGTGATATTTTAAATCCCCACTATTAAGCATTTAATTGTTTTAAAAGAAACTGCAAAAGCAAAGATTACCTACCCTTCCACCCTCCCCCTCTCCACTTATGGAATAAAAATTACTTGGAAGGGGAAGTAGGAGAGTCCTACATAGTGGAAAAATGAAGCAAGTTAATATGAATTAATAATAAATTATTTAGAAAGGTCTGGCTGGAGTATCAACTTGATTATGTCAGCATGGCTGCCAAAGAGCTGTGCTAATTCACACTACTAGGGATCTGGAGGGCTTCTTTTTGAGTAATACAAATCCTTCCCCTTCTTTTTTTTCTTTTTTATTTTATAAAGAATGTTATTGTGCATGCTGTATTTACCTTGTGTATTTAAAACAAAAACAAAACAAAAAAACCCAACAAATTCCACAAAGTTAATCTTGTTTTTAGAACATAATTTTCTATTAGCAATTCCATATTAGTGTGATGGGGCTGAGCTGGATGCTTGAATGCTTGTACAACATATAGGGCTACTGACACCAAGATGTGGTTGGCCCAAACTATTCTCAAGAAGACAATTTGTCAGAGCTTGGTTCAAGCTGTACAATAATGAAGGGTTCTCCTGACAAGGAATCGCACTCTTTTCCTGTAGCAGGGAGTAGGAGAGTAGAGAAAAGGTATCTTGTAGGACACAGTTTTGTAACCTGCTGCACAGCTGGTAACATACCGAGAACAGATGGGGGGCAGCATTCAGTGACAAGTTCATCTTGTCTTTGCACAGCATCCAGAAACTGAGTTAGGGATGACACCATAATACTGGATGGGTTTCAATCTGCTCCGTCTCACAGCAGGGTGTTTCTACCATATGGCTTTCTTAGTCTTTCATGAGATGTCAAGTTTCTTTCTTCAGAAGGCAAATACCCACCAGCCTCCTTTCCTGCTCTAACCTCAGCACCCTGCAGCTTGGAAAACATTAATACCCAAGAGAAGATATAGCAAGGTTAAAAACCCTCTTATCCAAGCACCAACTGCCAGTGGGTTTTCAAGTCAGTCTTGGTATTTGGGGCTTGAGATGCAAGGCTAAGCCCTGACAGATGTCACTGCTATAAGAGAGAGCTCCTCAGCAACACAGCAAATAGGACTGTACTGCACCTCAGAAACTGAGCACTTCAAATCTGCTGGACTCTTGACTGGAGCAGAACACCCAGGGTCAGAGAAAACTCATGTTCACAATACAGAGGCTTCTTTATTAAAGATCTGCTACCAATATTACAGTATTTTCCTAGTAGTGAAGAGGTGGGGACTGCCAGTTCAAAAGTAGAAGTAAAATCAGAATAACTGAAAATAAGTGACATTTTCAGGCAAGCTTATAGCTTGAAGGCACAGAGGGTAAATATAGTAAGATTCATAGTGAACATGATAACCCTGATCCATTTCTTCTGGCAACACCTGGAGGTTAGAAAGCATAAGAAAATTTCTAACCTATAACAGGAGGAGACTATGATATATTTTGCAGGAAACAGTCTTTAACTCTCCCAGCAGAAGTTAAGACTAATTACAGTAACTCTGGGGCATTGAAGCTAGCAAAGACAGTGAGCCTTATGGCTCTAACAGAAAAGAATGGAGAATAACATAAATTCCAGTAGAGCGGAGAACCTAAAAGTCTATGCAGCAAGAGAGAGAAAAAGATTCCTTAGGACAGACAAGAGCAAGTTTGAGGAAGGAGTAAGGAAACTACATGCAAGTGCTCCTTAATTAATGTCTTGAAAAGATTAATGTCTTGAAAAGATGCGTGTTTGCTAAGGAAGGCAGGAGCCTCCCTTGAAATGCAAAATGTCAGTTTCTGTGGCAGCATTTGTAGTCTCTGGGGCTGTGTCAGGTTTGGGGGCAGCATCCCTGTTCTCTAGGGTAGGTGTCAGGGTGGTTATCCAAGTCAATCTTCCCTTATCTCTGAATGATAGATAGAACAGGCATATCAGCAACACCAACCACGGTATGACATAATTTGCATTTAGAGAAGGTTTGAACCCTTCAAAAACTGGTGAGGTAGACCCAAAGATCTGTATGAAGGGTTGGGAGAAAATTTCCCCTGAGGTCATTTCCTCACAGTAGGTACCTTTATGAAAGTAACACCAGAGGAAGTTAAAAATCCATTTATTCCTCACCTTATTAACTCATAAATCAAAATAGATAACAGCCACAGCAGCCTTAGTTATAGGAAACATATTTAGATAAGGGCCTGCAAATGGGAGAAATTTAGCCATGAGCATGTGCCACCCAAACCAGGGTAAGTTAGACAACATGGTAACAGCTAGCAAGGCTTCATATCCAGCACACAAAAAAATTAGGTTACTCAATAACTAGAACTGTTATTCCTTTTTTCACCCTTTTCTCTCTATGCCCTCCGGCCCCATATTGGGCACCAAAATCTGTCTTGGTTTGAAAAGACAGTTGTCTGCTAAGAAAGTCAGGAGCCCCTCTTGAGATGGAAAATGTACACACCCCCCCCCCCCGAACTGTCATAATTTTGAAATTAAGGGGCTCTCAGGCAAAGATATGGGAATAGGAATAACAGTTCCTTACTAGGAAGATTAAAATACAAATGCAATAGTATGAGAAAACCACTGACAGAGTCCAAATACGATTTGACACCCTTGTGGTCAGGGTGTTGGTAGCAGTCCAATTAAATGGTGGCTGCAGTGCTCCTGCAGTGCCAGCTGCGGTTCTGCTGGAGCAGTGATCCTGTAGAAAGGTGGAATTTTCCTCTGAAGAGCCAATAGTGGTGTAGGTGGGCCTGGTCTTCCTCTGGGAATCCAGTGGAAAAGAAAGCTGCTCCTCTGGGAATCCAGTGGGAAAAGGCTGTCTGTGGTTTTCCACATCTCCAATTATATCCAGTTAAGAATTTCTGGCTCCTCCCCCTGGGCAGAGCATCTCCCAGTGGGATGATGTAATTTTCTCAGTCACACAGTGAGACTCAATGGCCCATTAACAGAAGATATTTCCCAGAGGGAGATTGGTTGTGGAAGAGATAAAGCAAACTGCTTCACCTGGTTTTAACAGGTGGCCCATTTAATAGACCATAACTGCCCCATCTCTAACAGATGGCAATAGTATACACATCTTGCACTTGCAACCTAAGACAAAATTAATATATTAAAAAATTAAAAAGACAAAAATTAAATATTAAAATATTTTAAAGGCTCACAAAGGTGCACTGGTTTTAGTGAACTTAAGCACGTTTGTAACTGCATAAGGTTTTCCCCCATTTCTTAAATCATACTGGAAAAATACTAAACAGGCAAAGTAGAAAAACATACTATATATGTACAATCTGAACAATAATCAGAATACAGCCTTCATATCAAAGTTTCTGTGGTACAGTGAAAAGCCATTGTGTCAAAGCAACAGGGGCTACTGAGCCTTCTCAACCAAGCACAAGCCATGAATATTTAATAGCTATTGCTCTTTCAAAAGAGCAGTGTCTTTCTATTTGTTAAGTATGCAGGTATTTAAATATACTTCCATTTAAATTGAGACAAACACAAAATGGTGGCAAGACAGAAACTTTCTGGAAAGTATTTTAATAGCAATATTAACAGCACATGAAATCAAGCAAAACATGTGGAAATAGTTTCACTTTTAATGAAAGAAATATCTTTCAATTTAGAAACTCAAAGTGCTAGATGAAGTTCCCTCAAAAAATGACCAACCCAAACAAAAGCAGAGAGGAAATCAAACAAAAAGTAAAACAAAACAGTGAAATGTTGTCCAACATCTGCAAAATTTTCTTTACTGTACTTCCAATCAATGTTGAATAAGCAGATCAAGGCCCTCTTTACTCATTGAAGAGTACCTAGAAATTATCTTACTCTTTTTTCAAATAGGCTTTACAGAAAGCCAACATTAGTGACTACATTTCTCATGTAAACCCATCCTTTCAAAAACAGATACCAACCCTTAACTTATAGAAAGACAAAGCAGTTTTTCATCTAATTAAGTAACCAGTAAAGCTTTATGGAACCTTACTAAATAGTCTTCCAAAAACTGGTGGCAAACTTATAGCTGATGATTACAAGGAGGATCAAAGAGTTAAGAGGATAATGTTATGTAATATAGGTTGGTATTCACAGCTCAAAGCTGTAAAGAGTTCAGTTCCTTAGTCTATTTAAAAATGCATTTTTGTGGAGTCAGTAGAAACGAGAACTTTTGCACTCGCGCTCAATCTTGCATGATAGGCTACAGCTATATGTTGGCTATATATCTGTATGTAGCTATATGAAGGCAGGCCTCTTCAGGGATAAAAAGAAACTACTTCTTGAGGCTTGCTTTTTGTAGACTTTCTGAAGAGACTGCATTTTTTCATTCCAATTGTATGCTCACAGGTTACATCATCTAATGAGGTCCCATTCTCACTCAGATCTAAGGCAAAACCAAGACATACACGATAAGTAAGGACATAGATGAGTCAGAACAATGTAAGTCAACGTATTTGCTCATTTTGTATAAATTGATTTAATTGGAAAAAGCACAATCTAAGAAGTAATCAAATTCTGCATTTAGCAGAAGACCCAGTTGCAAATTTGCTCAAGAATATGCACTAGGCTACAAAAGCTTTTTGAGGTTACTCTGAAAGAGTAATAAGAATTGCAGAGAATTTGGTGTAAAGCAACATTACATGAAAAAAAAAAAAAAAACCCCAAACTCCTCAGAGTTGTTATTTCTGCAAAGAAACAAAAGAATGAAGATTTAATGTAAAATGTCTTGAAAGTTAGCAATGCATGGAAAAAGAGTTAAGCTACTTGTCTTCCTTTCTGTCTTCTTCTTTGTGGCAATAATTAGTCAGAGGAGCAAACAGTATAGTTCAAATAGCAAAGTCATGTCAGCAATAGGTACAATGCCTTCCTCTGTTAGTGAAGAAAAGGATACATTTCTATTGTAGTGGTGAACAGTGAAGTCTCTGTCATCAGTCAGCTTGTGCAGGCGCCTCTGCAGCCTGGAATGTTGCCAAAAGGGAAGTCAGAGGCTTGTTGGTTTGCACTGTGTGCCATGGGAAAAAACAGGATGTAAAAGAGATTTTTAAAAATAAAATGTCTGAAAATGTTTGTCATTAGCAGCAATGACTGAGAGTCTGAATGCAGAGCAATAAAATCCTCTCAGTTTGTAACTCTACCTGTATATGAATTCAGGTAAACTATTAATGATGCATTTTATCCTAGGGAGGTTGTTTTATTTCAAGAAAAAAAATTGCTCTTTCAGTAAAACTGAATAAATTGCTTCCTTTTGCCAGTGACATCAGCTACTTTTAGACACTCTAACCAGAACTTAGGATACAAGTAAGTACGGATATCTGCATTTCTAAACTGAAACTTGTTCCTATAAATTTAATATAATGGCAATATCATGAATGCCTCCTCTGATTTAACCAAATGCCTTCGAAAATAGTCTGTAGCACTGCCTGGGGTTTTTGTGACCCAAGTGCAGGACCTGTCAGATCAACACTCCTACCCAGCTTGGTGTCATAATATGCATAGGTGCCTATTATGCATCCTGGGACACATTCTGTGTTATAAAAGGAATCTGATTGTTGGGGATACTTCCTAAGTCCCTAAAGCTTTAAAGTGCACAAAAAATTTAACTTATAATATATTACACCGTGCAAGACAGGTGAGGGAGGTAAGGAATTTTAAAAGGCAGTAGATAAATCACGTGATATGTTCAAGCTTCTGGTTTCTTCATTGATTTCTCATAGAAGAATACTTTGGGCTATGGACCTTTATTCTGTGATGTATTTGGTTTGGACATTTTTGCATTTGTCTTTTGAGTGTGTGTGTGGTTTTTGGTGTTTGTTTGTTTAAAAATAGTGATGTACTGGATATTTAGAATTCTAGAGTTGCCTTCTTTGCACTGGAAAACAGGAAATGTCAGGAATGCAAGCCTTTTTAAGGGAACACAGGATGATGTAGACATTCTCTCTGTGGAATTTGCACTCAGCAGTATCAATCCAAACCTTTTGGTCCATTCAATGCTAACCTCATAACACAGCACTCTGTAGATCAGAAATGTCATCTACTCTCTGCTGATAACCCCTCTGCAATGCCAACAGTGGAAGCTCAGAACAACAGCTTTCTCTATAGGAAAACAAACAAACAAAAAAACTCTCACAGAGGTTGACTTCTGAAAAGCTGTTCATCCTGGTGCTCATGCTCAGAGTTCAGAATCAAAAGAAACCACAACCAGGCAAAGTAGAATGAACCCCAACGGTACAATACTGAAAAGGAAACAAGAGGTAAACCAGCAGCTCTTGAAATAACTACTGTTTTAGCTACAACAGCAGAGGAGCCAATATGTCTGGTTTTCATTCTGTCCTGTAATTTAACATCAAGGATTTCCCCCTTTTGCTTATTTTGGGACAGTTTTGATAATAATCTCCAAATGTAAGGCAGCAAGAAAAGTGGAATTTCTGCAGCAGAGAGGTGCATTTCCTCAAGATCAGCCCACAATAATTTTCCCCCCTCTCACAGTATAAAAACACAGCATGTCCTTCACCAGATAAGCAAGCTCTCCATCCATTTGTACACACCTGGAGAATCTGGCAGTATTTTTTCCCCTGCTAATGCAAGTGCTGGAGATTGTCTCATTAGAAAGAATTAGGAGAACCTGCTGAATTCCAGGTTTGCCAGTGCAGCAAGCAAGATCAAAACAGTGCAAGCATCTGGCATTTGAAAAAAAGCAATCAAGGAAACTTTCCAACAAGCTCCTAAAGCCCAGTCACCACCTGAGAGGGCTGCTTGAAAGAAATAAGGAGGATTGCTGTGTTGAAAATGCCCTTTGTATAGGTGTTTAAATAAAGTAGCTAATGGAACTAGAGACAGGTTCATTTTCCAGTATAGATGGATAGCAGGACTCTAATTGCAGTACATTTTCAGATTTTGAATAGCATTCAGTCTAATCTGAACTTATATGATTGTAAGGTTAAAAAAAGTCATTGACACAATGATAATAGTGTAGAGGCAGCCAGAAGATGATAGAGATATACACTTTCTGAAGTGTACTTAAAATACAGTAGAGGGCTCACTTCCCAAATGCCTTTATCTTCCTGAGTGCCTGCACAGCATTGATTTATTTACAACTAGATACATTACTGCAATTTACAGATACAATATTAATGTATTTCACTGCAACATATGGTTCAAACTACACCGTACTACAAGTTATGCAGTGCAGTCACTTCAGTGAAGCCACCAAAATTAGCTCAGGTCGTGAATGTTGTTAGTTCCTTTCCTGTGGCTATAACAGCAAAGTGAGGACCCTGCACAGCGTGTTCTGAAAGGGTTATTCCCTCCAGAGAGCCAGGGAAAGAACAGTGACACAGGAGTGTTGTTTTGAAGCTACCGAGCCATCAGATGAGAGCAACTCGGTGAAGTTATTGAGGTTCTTGTGTGATGTGATCTCAGCGCTGTGAGACCCAGGGGCACGGAGCTAAAGCACGTTTCTGACTCCGGACGCTGCTGTGAAGAAGGCTCCTGAGGGGCCAGCCGGGGAGCGGCGGGGCCAGGTGTGCACGGCCCTGAGCTGCGGGGGAAAGCTCGCAGGACTCCGCCTGGGAGGCTCCCTTCTCCCGGAGCTCCACGGAAAGCACCTGGCAGTTCACAGCAGCCACACACTCGCTGTTTCCTCGGACCTTCCTCAGGCTCTGCCAACGTACCTGAATCTGAAGGGGTTCCACACCAGAAAACAAATGCCTTTTCTTAATCTCTTCTGAACACTATGCAGAGCGACCAACCACTGAGGACCGCTGCTTTGAACACCGGCGGCGTGCGGCACAGAACGAATGGACCAGAAACAGTGTCTCACACTTGCCACTGGGGGATGTGCCGGCGGCAGGAGCCCGTGAGGGCAGAGCGGCGTTCCGGGAGCGGGGAGGGCAGGGGCGGCGGCGCTCCCGCCCCTCAGCGCCGCCCCGCCCCGCCCGGCGCAGGCGCGCTGGCAGCACGGAGCGGGCCGGGCCGGGCCGGGCCGGGCCGGGGAGAGCCCGCGGGCGGCGGCGGCAGCGCGGCAGGTGCGGGGCAGGAGCGGGGCGGCCGGCAGGGAAGGAGGGAGGGACGCGGGGCCCACCCAGGCTGGGAGTGCATGGTGGGTGTGTGGGCAAGGCCGGGCAGCGCTGTGGGGACGCCCCTGTGCACTGCTGCCAACCCCCGGCCGGCGCTGCCCGGTCTGCGGGTGCTGCTGTACCGCACCTGCCCCGCTCCGCGGCTCCAGGCGGGGATGCGAACGGGCGGCGGGGGGGATGCGAACACCCCGTCTCGCAGGCCCGTGCACTGGCCAGGGGTGGCTGGGGGTGGGGAGGAACAATGCAGAACCATTCAGCTTCGGCCTTCGGGAATAGCCATTTCTAGAATAACCCTTTCTAGAATAACCCGTTCCAGAATGATCACAGCTGAGAGGGCGGCGATTACATCATTGAAACGGTGATATTTCATGCTTTGCAGTAATCTAGATCAGTTATTTTTGTAAACAGGCATAGTTACTCAACGAACCATAGGTATGTATGGCATGAGGCCTAGGAAAAATAATTAAAGAATGGTGAAAAAGGTTGCTTTGCCTTAGGCTAAAGCACTGACCCTTCAGAATTTGAAAAATACATCTAAAATTCAAACATAAGGAATGTTCCAATAATTGCCGCCTCCCTTGTTTTTTGTTTTTCTTTAAGCAGAGTACCGCTCAAGAAAACTCTCTTCAAAACTGGAAAGAGCTCCAACCACAATGATGAACGCCGATCTGGATGGTATAAATTCTTAATGTTCTTGTTCTTCATTGTTATTCTATTTAGTATAATTTCTAACTGTTAACAGAGGTTGCATTAAAACTCTTGTTTTTTATTGCAGCTGTTGAGGCTGAGAATCAGGTGGAATTAGAAGAGAAAACACGGCTTATTAATCAAGTTTTGGAACTGCAGCACACACTTGAAGGTTAGCAGCTTAACATACCAGATTTTTTACAAGTACACAGTAATAAGCAAAAGAAGAGAATCTGACTGTTCTGCCCTTAGTCACAGTGTCCAGAAGTATGTCACTTAATGCAGCTGAAGGTACAAAATCAGGGTCCTGGAAATAGTATTTTTCTTCAGGTTTATGCAACATTACATTTGCTTGACCTTGGTAATACACAGCAAGTAGAAAGGGTGATACAGCTAATATGTCTATGCTTATTAGAAGACACACATCTGAGGCTGCTCATCACTGAACTGTTTCCAAGAAATTTAGCTTGCAATAGCTTAATTCATAAATTCAAGAAAGTAATAAACTTACAGACCAGCAGTAAGCTTAACAAGTTTGTAAAAATACGGTACTACAAAATAATAGAGGAAAAATGGCCTTTAGGTAAAACATGAGTAGGAGAATGTTTTATAACATAATACCCTATGGTAATGTTTTCTGGATTAAAAGTGTGACTAGTCTGCTGTAGGCCCGTAGAACATATTCATTATTGTATGCAATAGTATCTAATATTTTTCTTATAATATCACCTTCGCAGATCTCTCAGCACGAGTAGATGCTGTTAAGGAAGAAAACTTGAAACTGAAATCAGAAAACCAAGTTCTTGGACAGTATATAGAAAATCTGATGTCAGCATCTAGTGTTTTCCAAACAACTGACACAAAAAGCAAAAGGAAGTAAGAGTTGATTCACAGATTATGTCATTGTATTGCTGCTGGGGTTTTTTTTGTTTCATTTTAACTGGCATAGGCTACATAAGCTAAAATACTTTAGTTTGTGGCTTACTGGATTCTCAAAGATTATAGACTTCGGTAGTATACTGAATTAAGAGCATTATCATGAACAGGAGAAAGTAGACTGTTTATTAAGATTGAGCAATGTGCAAATGTAGTGTAGATAATTACAAAATCTTTGTATTTAAAAATGACCATATCTTGTTAAAAAGATTAGTTTGTCAGGTTAAACAAAGGCCTGTTGGTACTCTGAGGTCTTAGGGTAGATTTCTTGGCTATATTGTGTTACAGTATTGTGTTGAAACCCCATTTGATAAAAATACTCAAAGTTTATTGCATCACATTTTTGCACCTGAGATGTATTTACTGCGTAGTACTGTTCATAGTTCTGCAAAACAAAACAAAAACCTATAAAACAGTTAAGCATTTCTGTGAAGTAGGAACAGGATGACATTTTTTGCAGGGCTTACTTACAGAAAAACACGTCAGATGTTTTGGGAAGGGGGAATGTAAGAGGAGCAACAAGGATAAGCAACTTATCAGGGAAATAGCAAGCTGATGCAGTATGAGATGTAATATGTACACTTGAAACTATTGCTGCTTTCCCATTTCCCTGAAGAATGCCCAGGCACAATGCCCATCACAATGTATGATCTTCCTGAAGTTGTGTTGTGTGATGAAAAGTTAAGTAAGAACCTGAGTGATAAACTTTGCAGAAGGAGGTCTGCAATGCTCCTCATGCTCGTGAACAGCCTGCAGTGAGGAGCTGAGAACAAGTCTTTCTCTTCCCACCTTTTACTTTCCTCCTGCAGTGCCAAACTTGTCTTTTCTTCAGGCCTCAGGGCAGCTGTTTTCCTGCCCCACAGCCTATACTTGTGATGTGCTTCTTGAGGCACTGCATAGAAACATCCAAGGCAGAAGGATGCAGTGGAACAAAGGTGGATTTTGCCTCTCAAAACTGTGCTGCTCTCAGCAATGCCTGCTATTAAGGTGCTGTTTTTTCCTGTCTCAGATGTTAGGTTTTGTACGGGAGCTCAGCCCAGATTACGGGTCTGAGCACTTCCCACAGAGGCAGCATATCCAGCATAATCAGTATTAAGGGAGAGCAGAAGCTGAAATATAAACAAGTATGTAAATTTCAGCAGTACTTAATTGCATGTTTCATCTTGCCCTACAGTAGCACTGCAGATTTACTTATGGATGTTGGCTAGGACTGAGTTGTCGCTTCAGTAATGAAGCCATTTTACTTGACCTTTTAAAAGGAAATCACTACTTCAAGGATCTCTCTCAAGCATGGTGTGAATGAGTCAGTGTAATAGAATAATAAATCCCATCCCAAATCCCAGGTTTCTTAGCAGCTAGGTACTGCTATGTCTCAAGTGTAAGTTGACATTGTGAGGTTTCCCCCTCCCAAAGGTGAGGTTTCCCATTTCTCCACATTTAAAATGGTTGTACAATGCTCACTGGAATCAAAAGACACTAAACAAAGTCAAAAGACTGCAAACAAAGCACTAATAGTACAGTCTCGAGGGCTGTTTACAAGTCTGGGTCAAGAAACTCGATGAAAAATGGATGACACCATTTGTGTCATGGGATCATTGTCAACACCTAAAATTAATTCTAATCTTCTATAGAATACTTTCTCACATTACTGGAACTCTAAATTAATTTAAGAATTGCTAGCAGGTAGAGTATATCACACGGCTAGTCCAGAATTTGAGCATTAAAGGAAGAAAAATCACAGCAAGCAGTTGACTTCTAAAGATTGCATTACAGCCATCGTAGCTTTAAAACCATGTCACTGCCATCTCCATCTGCACGGTAGATCACCTGGTAACACAGCATGCGCTTGATAGACTTCAGCAATTCCCAGTATAAGGTAATTTTAAAATCATGGTTTTGTATTGTAGATTGGATAGTGGTATTTTATCCATCAGTGTGTATACAGCAGTTATTTCATTTCCATGCCATTTTGCATCCCACAACTGTGGCCTTCATTTAACTTACGAACATTTTAAAGATATTGTATTTCTGACTTTACACCAAATAAAAACTTTTCATTTGTCTCAATTAGTTTGGTTTAACATTTGTAAACCCTAAAACTTCTCGTAACTATCTGTAGTCAAAGGTGAAAAAGCAACTTAAAGTTTTGACATAGCTGAGTTGTCTGAAAAAACAGATGTAATTGAGATTAAACCCAAGTTAGTGAATCTAGTCTTAACAAAGCTTCAGTTCCTGACTCACTTCTATTTTCAGTCATCCATCTTAAATTTCTGTGTACTTTTCTGTTCTTGCTAAAGTAAAAGGATCACTAGACTGCATACACTGTTGTAAAAAAGCTAAAACGTAGTTTTCCATCTGGGAGACTGTTAAGTCAAATTAGAAATGTTACTTTTTCCTACACTTTTAGTGAGCTTTACGTTAGACAGAACCCAGAATTATTACTACATCAGACCTTCATGAATGTAGATGCCAACTGAGGAGTAGCTTCAACTGTAACTAAATAAAAGGGCCTCAGTACTACTTGGCTTTCCCTGCATATGAAGTGTTCAGCTGGGGATCTGGCATCCTCAGTAAGAACTCTTTTACCAAGCTACAACATTGTCAGAGGGGGAGCACAGGCTGTAGAGGACTTGTTACTTACAGAGTTCCAAAGGTGACTGACAGTTTTAATAGCAAGACATGCTGAAACTGAGGATCATTATTTTGTTAATTTTAAAGCTCTTTCAAGCAACCATGATAGCAAGATGAAGTATGTTTACTGAAATACGTGTTCAGATAAAAATAGACACTGCACAGGAAGTGTGGGTGAAATCTCACTGTTGCATTGTATCAATGAAGAGGGGCTGCCCTTCTGCCTGGCTTTCTACCTCTAGAGCCTTAAATCTTCAACATCTCTGGTATTTCTGCTCCAATTACCAGCATAAATCTAGATCCGAGTAAGATGATGTGCAGAAGGATGTCTGCTCTCTCCAGATTCTAGGTGATCAAAGCTGATGGGAAATCAACCAATATTTTATGGGAACTTTAGGTTCAAAACCCTAAGAGAAGATGAGCATCTCCCATGGGGTGACTGGAGTAAGTAAATCACATCAAAGAAACTACAGTAACTAGAGTAACTATCACATATCAGAGGAAAAAAAACCCTCCTAAACCTCTAGGCAAACAAACAAACCAGACCCCCAAGACACCCAAATGCTGTAACAATTCCAAAGGACTTCTATCAGACTTAGACATAATTCATTTAAAAAGTGAGCTCCAACAGCTCACAGTAACTGTTGTCAGCAGGATACTACACTGGTAAAAGCATCTATCTATTGCTGAGGAGTAATCTGGAGTCTTCACTTCTTAGCTTTTACATGGAGGCTCTAAATAAAGAGGTGGGAACTTGCAGTTAACTTAAAAAAAGACACAAAAAGCCCCAGATTAAACAAAAACCTAGAGACATTTCCATGTAAATCACACCACATAGAAGTCAAGTATAATTAACTTTTGAACACTTCAAAACAAGCACTTGAGGACACCGGCTTCTTCACTAGGATTAAGCATTCATTTCTTAGAGACTTCCATGGAATCTGCTGTGAAAATACTTTTTAAAGTGGACAAATTTTATGACAGGCACAAGAAAATCTATTAGATTCCTTATGAATTAATGTGTTTCTACTGTAATACAGAATTTAGCATTTACACATTCTACTACTACTACAGGCAGCTGCCAAGCAGCAAGAGGTTTCTGGTGACTGAAATTTTATTGTTTAATATACAGCTGAACTTCAATGAAACAATGTTTCTTTACAATAAGCAGTTTATTTAAACTATGAGAATACTCAAGTTACTCACATCGTAAAAAACTTAATCCATCAAAAATTCTTATCTATATTAATAAATTTCATATTAAGCAAGAATTAATAAATATTTTAGGTGACAATATATACTTAGCAAGTATTCTAGAAACAGGTTATACCACTCTGGTTTGGAACATGAGAACTATGAAAGTTTGAAAAAATCATCTGTATATGACCTGCAGATTTGATACCTGCATTCAAGAGTAAAACAAATAACATCAATTACCACTTGTATTGTGTTTTAAAATATATCTTGAAAATAAATTACTGCAGCAAATGCCTAAAGTGAACAGGTGACCCATGTAACAAGATCAGCTAAAATAAATAATTTACAATAAAAATTGTTGCTAGCACAAAATCATCATACAAAAACAATTATTGCATTTAGCTCTGCACAGAAAATAATACCTTTTCTCATAGCATTGTGAACTGCTATAGATGCTACATCTATACCTACCATCATCTTTAAGCTGAAAACTGTAAACAGTTTATTTTGTGCTAGAGCTACAAAAGTATTATAATGCATTTATTTAAAAAAATATTTTGAGTAAGTTTATCTCCAACTAATACTAATTTCTAAGAAACTTCAAATCTTAAGAATCTTCACCTAAAAATCAGTTGGTCAACTTGTAATTTCCCTTTTATTTTGAATTTTAAATACCAGCTAACTCTTCACATTTATCCTTAAAAAAAAGGAATTGAGGAAGTTTGGGATGGTTAAAGAGGCCAGATAATTAAAATAGGAGGTTAAACAGCAATAAGCCCCTCCTTTTCCCATCAAAGCTCAGGAATTTGCCAGGCTCACTGAAGTGACACACCAGAAGTTACCGTCACTGTCTCTAGACCTGCAAACACCAGCTGGAAATAACTCAGTCCTTTCGTACTCTTCTTTTGCGCACTGATTTCAGTGGACGATCTCCCATTCCTTCATCAGCTTCTTTCTTCTGGAAAAAAAAAAAAATCAGCATTAACATTTTAAGCTTATTTTAATTATTGAAACTGGCACACTACGTTTTTTCTCTTCCTGAATTCCCCAGTCATTTTATCACTACATGCAGCACTTACATGATGGGATATTTTTTCCACACTACTAATCTAATGATTAATAAAGTGGGTAGAAGACTTTTCATTTCTATATTCAGAAAGAAGAGAATAGTATGTTTAAACCGATGTCAGAAATTTGTTTTTGCCCATGTCTTTGCTGGTTTAAAAGCAGTGACTTTTAAATTGCTATACCAACTTCCTTGAAGTTCACTTTTTGCTAATTTTATTTCCACTTCTGAAGTAAGATGCATTTAAAACATTTTAACTGTTCCCTTTAGAGAGTTACAAATAGAGCAAACTGTCCTTAAATCAGATGTGGTGTTCACAGTTTAAAAGCAATGGGCTTACAGAGGCACAGGAAAAGCATTTCCAGTGTGAAATCCATTCTCATACCATGCATTGCTTCCTCACTTTCCTGCATCACGTAATGGCAGGCACCTCCTTTAGAAGGAACAGCTGACAGAATGTGGCCCAGCCTGAGGACATGGGGTACATTATGTGTTCCAGACAACTCACAACAGAAACACCTACACACTAAAAACACTCAGAGAAAAGCAAGCCATGCCCTCATTGTGACATTGTGTAATGCCACAGACACATGCAGAGCTTGCTATTACTTTCACAAGGTGTCATGTGAATCCTAGCAGATACTGTATTCCTGAATAAATGTACAAGGAAAAGAAAACTTCTTACAGGAACAATAGAAAAGTACAGAATAAGGGGCAATTAACAAAGACTTTCAGTGATGAAATAATGCAACCTCATGCCAGGTACAGTTTCCTAGAGAAGTTTTACATGAAAAGGAATTAACATTACACTAAACAACTCCCTTAAGCTGAAAAGTGGCTCATTTAGGGAGTGACAAGCACAAGATGATAAATGGGTGGATCTAAAGTGTCTCAGACACTACCAGTTTCTAAATGAAGGAAAAATGAGTAGCTGACAAACACACAAATTCCATTCTACAATGATATTTTATGAAAATAATTTTGTAGAATATCTGGCAGACTGGATTAATCTGCACAAGAAAACTGAAACTGCAGATGCTGTGTTCAAATACTGTATTATCATTTTGCTTAACACTTTATTTTGGAATAAAAAACGCCAAAATGTAACTGAAAAACTTAAGGTTTTTCTAGATCTCAAGAAAAGGCTTTTCACTTGAAAGCACATATTCTACCAGTCCAGAAGCACAATGAAAACTGACCAATTTGCTGCAGCATCCAAATTTAATAATTCGTTAACAACTATACTCCTGCAAAAACATTTCATGTGTAGCGAACTGCCCGATCACTTCCATACTATACCTGTATTTATGCAGAGCATTTGAGGTGTCAGATTCAAAGGAAAGCATATTTCTACCTCATTATTTGTTTTATGGCTCAACAGAAGAAAAACACTTATAAGGTAACTGAGCTTAGAAGTATGATGTCAGACCATGGCAAGAAAGTAGGGAAAAATGCAAACTTACCTCATCTTCTGAATCAGATTTATTTGACCAATCACCTTGACTTCCATCTGGAATTTCATTTTCTTCTTCATCATCATAAATATCTTCACGACCTTCACCGTCAACTTCTGCATCAAAAGTTAATTTTATGTCATAAACACAACTTTATTGCAAATACACTACAACCAGACATAGTAGTAAGGAAAATAAGCCAATTTCAGTCCTAGAATTAACTGCTTGTTTAGAATAACCCATAAAAACATCTCTGTGATACAGAGAGTAGAATTCTCATGAATTAGTAGAAAGTGATAACTGCCAGATTTAACAACCAATTTTAACAGCTCCAACTTTGCCTCTTTTCATAATAGCCCATACTATCTTCAGACTTGTTACTGACTTAAAGGACTTGATTTACTTTACTTTAAAACTAGCTATTGTATTGGACAGTTTTGAGAGCAGAGTCCAAAATAGGACAACTGACAAAATTCTGATTTAGATGGGGAAGTAAAGTATTGCAGTTATCAGTCATGCAGCATGGGAGACACCTACATCCTAAGGGTATTCCCCTTTTCAGCAGGGAATTCTTCTGACATACTGTTTTGTTTGAGGGATAAGCAGCTTTTTATTTCCACCTTTCTTGTGCATTTTTGCAATGCAGAAACTAGTCAGAAAAGCACTGTACTCCCCTTAGGTCACTCAAACCACGTCCAGCTTGCATTACTACTGCACTACCAGTACTCTTTATGATACTTTCTATCAAGTGTAAACAAATCTTAAATCTGACAGAAAGGATATTCATCGACATTTTGCAACTTAGTGGTCTGCCAGTGGCTTAGTTAAAAACAGCAGTGAAGTAGTGCTCAATTCTCTCCTTGTTAGGTCACACCTACATCTCATAAGCACTGCTTAGGTGTGAAAAAAATAGGAAAAAAACAAAAACAAATATCTAAAATCTGCACCCACACCAAATTCTTACTGTTGCATCTGAGTTGAACTGAAACAAAAGTATCCCTACAGATTAAGAATTTAGTCACACAGCAGATGAGACTCTCCTGATTCTTGGTGATGAAAATCTAGAAATACCTAATTTGTTAAAATATTTGATACTTCTGTCTCAAATTAAGGAAGTAAAATCTTAGTACTGTAAAAGTACCAAGAACTTTGGCTGCAATATAGCTTTATATTGAGCCAAACAGAGCTTCACTAATTGTTATGAATGAGTAAGTTAGTTTTGCTGTATGTCAATATACCTGATTCATGCCTACTGTGTCTCTAGTATCAAAAGGAGAAATATGACCAAATAATGAAGATCATGGTTTAAGAAAGATGTAGACAAAGCTCTCTGCCCTAAAAATAAGGCCTTAATAGAAGAACTTGGTGGAAATTCACAAAGCCTTTTGTCATATTGTAATAAAGAAATTGGAAATGATAAATTATGCAAATCCAGCTCCTCCCATAAGTACAAACTTCAATAGAGAGGAAAAAACCCCAAATCAAAAATACATCAAACATCAGAAGCTGTAGAACCCAGAACTGGAAAACTGTACTATTTAAAATTATTATTTTAAATTTAATCATACAGTAAGTTAAGCATTATTTCATATAAACAAATGTGGAACTTGACAAATAAAATTCAGACTGTGGCTCTGAAATTCCATTTTGTGGCGACATTCTTTTACTTCCTGCAATATCTTTCTACAGGTCAACGAAAGCAAGGACACAAAGCAGACAAATAGACCATGCCACAAAAATTAACATAGAACAAAAAAACCCAATAAATCCCATGGACAAAACCCTTCAAGAAATACTCTGTCAGCAACTCACTGTCGCTGGTGTTAAAGAAATCACCAAGTGTTTCTAAAATTTGCTGTTATGCCACATTTCCTTTTTCTTTCTTTTTAAAATGACCCCATGATACAATGTGGATTTCAAGTCACTCAGCATACCACAGCTCAAAACCCCATTGCATTCAACTCCAAAAAAACTGAAGGAGGAGGTAATGACTATGAAGGAACCGTAAAAATCATAAGGTGACAAAGATAGTAGTGGAAAATATTTGTAACTACAGATACCATAGAGAGAAATCTCAGAGGAAAGTTGTATCTGCACCTGATGAAAGCTGGCATCCACCAGCTTCAAGTTCTACCATCAACAAGGAAGCAGAGGGAAGAAAACAGGAGAGACCCACTTGCAAGTCCTGGCCCAAACTGCTTCCCTTTCCCAGTACCTGAAACAGGAGCCTCCCTTCCCATCTTCTTTGTATTATCCTTTTTAAATTCTCTTTTTGTCCCTTCTATTTCTCTTCTCTCTGTAGTAAAAAGAATCAGGAAAAGGAGACAAGACAAATTCTCTAATACTTTCAGACACAAAGAGGCAAAAGAGCAATAGATAAAAAGGGAAGATTTCAACCTGCAAGTATAAAAAGTGGCAGGAAGCTGAGGGAAACTAAGCAATTCTGCTTAAAGCAAGAAACAATGAAGTCCTGTGACAGCAAAGTGTAATCCTTCCCTCTGAAGCCTAGAATTTATGTGAAAACCCTGGATTAGTCATACAAAAGCAAGCTAGGTTAGTTTTACTCTGTGTTCTGTTTAGTAACTAAAAGTAACGGTCTAAAATAGAACCTACCTTTGCAACACCATGAACAGCTGTTCCAAGTACAATTTAAGAAAGCTGTAGGAGCTGAACAATGTTCCTCTGCAATTGCCCGGGTCTTATTTCTAACATTGAAACACACATTTTAATGTATTATTTATTAAGTGATGTGTTGTAATTAAATAAATTAACTGAATATTGGAATTGAGGAATGGCAGCCTTGCAACAGCAGCATATTAGGTACAAACTATGATCTGCATCAAGACTGGGTAGAATAAAAGAGAGTCTGTAATTCAGGAGCAAAGAACAGGTCGAGCAGAGTAAGATCAAAAGGAAAATGTAGGAAGATACAACACTGAAATCATGTACCACAATTTAAGCTAACGTAAAGAATGTAGCATAACCAGAGTAATTAAGTGTCTTGGTAAGGCTCTCCAATAGCAAGGCAAACGGACTAAGTTTGATGTGGCAAGCACCGTGCCAAATACGTACTCAATTGTGTCAGTAATGGCATGGGAACTTATGGTGAGTGAACTTCCAAGTAGTACAGACAGAAACCATCAACACTTATGGAACATGATGCAAAGACAGCCAAAACCCACCAAGTTTCAGTCAGTAATACAAAGTGATGTCAGTACCAAGACAAAAACCCCAACAAAACATGAACGTCTGCTATGTCTCTAATTATCCATGCCAGTCCCTTGTCACTTTCTTTATTCTCACCAAGGAAGAGTGAAATAAGAAGCAGAATCTTGCAGAGCTCTGAAGCTAAAATTTTTCCCATCAAAGTCAAGATAATGCATTGTAAATTAGGTGCTTTGACTTTTATTCGTGATATAGACACCAGGAAAAACTAACAGCACCTCCAAGCTATAGCTGAGTAGCACCCAGTAACGTTTGATACAGTAACATGGGGTGATTTTATCCTTGGATGCTGCAGCACAGCTCAACCTACTGAGTCATTAATTTCTCCCCTGGGCAGTAGGACGCACCTCTGCAGGCGTGCAATAGGTTGCTAAAAAGCAACATAAAGGAAGCTGCAGACTTCAATATTTCAAGTATTTTCAAGTTTTAACAAGAATAACTCAAATCAGTGACCAATAGAACAGTATAACCCTCCCAGAGAGGTATAAGCAGATTTATGCTAGAGACTTAAAGCTATTCCAGACACATTTTAAAGGATAAAGTGAGTTTAACTGCTTCAGATACTTATATCTGAATAATTAAAATGCGTTTAATATATGAAATATTTAGAAGGGACAACATATGTATCACTGTCTACAAACATAAAAAATAGTGTTGGAAGCACGTTCATTTCTTGAAAGTGAAGAAATGCTGAGTAGAGCCTCACTTTCTGCTTATATTTATCAGAGCTATTAGCAATGAGATGCCACTCACTGGAAGTTATCAAAGATGAAAAAAGGCTCAAAGCAAGGCACATTTCACATCGTCTAAGAAAACAGGTTGTAATTATTGGCAATACAATCCATGAACTAATTCTATTCATGTCTTTAACCAAACTGCAAGCTGACACACTCTTACTCATCTTACCATCTTCATCAGTATCTTCATTTTCTTTTTCTTCTTCTAGTTCATAATCTTCAAGGTCCTCTGTCTCTTCTTTTAGTTCTCCCTTTGTAATTTGCTTAGATACATCAGGCTTTTTGAAGTCAATATATTCATCTGATTTCTACAAAAGATTAAAAATCTATTTATATTTCAACTCCAATTAAGAATTAAACAGGCACTGTAAGCTAAGTAATACCAATGGCATATTAAAAGGGCCCATTGTTGCACATAGGCTCAAGAGTTTCCAAATAAAGTATTAAGAATAAAACCAAATAGAAATATAGTAAATTTCACTAACCTTTCCTGGCCAGCAGAACAACACACTTAGACCAATGGGGAGAGCTAAAGTCAAGACGTAAAGAACCCAGAGCCATGGGTGTTCTTCTGCAGCAGTCACCAATTGACTAAACATACCAGGCTGTATTTTAAAAAAAAAAAAAAAATAGCATTTATATCCCTCTCTTCAATTAAATAAGTTTATAAAGTGTACTGTATGCATTTATATTGTCCAAAACCCTTCTTTACCTTTTCTTTTTAATGACTAAAGCAATATTGCATTGCAGTATTGCATTTCAATACTAGAAAAGCACAACTCTACAAATTGCAAGTGGGAGGTAAGGAACAGATGTAGAATTCTGAACACACTAGACCAGCCACAACTCAGCTTTGTAAAGTAATATCTACACACTGTACCAACTCAGCTGAAAGCTCCCAAAGCATCAAGAGCCTGAGGGCAGCAGTTCTGAGGAATACTGCTAGCTCCACTTGTACTACCACCTTCTCTCCTTTGACAGCCAATTATTCAGGGAGTAAATTGTCCTCCCAGTACAGCTCTGACTTACAGAGTGGAGACACTTAAGCAAGTGCCTGGTTCATCTCTGTAAGAGGTACATCAGGAGCTAAGGAAGTTTGAGAGGCACAGTGGAACAAGGGGACTCAAAGCAATTTTTCTGCCACTGTGTGTACAGATACAGATATAGGTTCAGACATAAACCCAAACATTTTGGAAAAGGGCAAGGTTGTGTGAAGAGATAACTTTCCTGCTTGCCTGGACAAATATGCTGTTGCTACTTGCTCACTCTGTGACAAACAGCAGCTGTATGGAATGGCCACATTTGCCACCAACCCATGGTTTCTCCCCCAGAACAGCAGCCTGCTGTTGTAATTTAACCCAAGAGAACAGAGGACTATTAAGTAGAAACAGGAGTGCAGGCGGAGTCCATGATCCTGTATGGCAGGGCAGATCCATCCCACAACACAGGGAAGGAGAGAGGAAGGCTGTCAAAGTGCAATACACAGACAAAATGTGGATGCCCACATAGAAACAGAATAGATGCAGCTCTATAAATATACATGCAATATTTTCAGAGCTGCATAACACACACCTAAGCAGCCAAAGGCCTAAAATTATTAAACAGAAACAAACACTAGGCTATTCATTCCTAATGGGAGAGAAGCATCAAAAGAATATAAATAATGGATATAATCATAAGGGAAAATAGATGGTGAGGGGTGGGAGAGCAAATCTTTCAATGTAAGTAACTCAGCTATCATTCTTTCACTTGCTGTCAGGTACTGAATTTCTAATATCAATGTGAACAGCAGAAGGCTTCATAGGAAGTCAATTTCTCACTAGGTGTTTAAGTAAATTGCAGTACCCTTTTAACCTCAAGAAAATACTCATCTGGGAAAGGAAAAAGCCAAACTACAAGACAGAAAACCTATCAGAGTTACTCAGCAAAATTATTAATTGCAGACAAATTAATACCCTGTCAGAATGGACAGAAAATTCTTCCAAAACCACAGCTTCCACACTACTTTCTACTATCAAGAACATAGTAAAGTTTATACCTCATTAGCACTTGCTACTAATTTCTTCAAGCCCCAGCTGTCTGCTGCCCAGCGATCTGCTACCTCTTTTTCTGAACATATGATGAAGTTATCAAAGTAGATATCAGATGTCATAGACCAGAGTTCTAAACCAATAGCACTGACAGCAGTCATCTTGAATGGGTGAAGATCTTCAAAATAGTCTGGGTTTGGTATTTTCCGAGGGCTCCAGACTCCCTGTTAATGGAAACAAATGTAATCACATTACCAAAAGAAGTACTTCTGAAAGAGATTTCAAAATAATAATAAATTTTATTTAAAAATACGAGCAGTAGAGTTTAACCTATCTAAAACAGAACTGGAAATAGCCTGTAGGATTTTGGCAGATGGGTCTCAATTTTATGGCTTAGGGCAGACCTCCTAAGTAATTTTTTTATTTTTTACTGTAGACATTACAGTAATAACTGACTCTTACAAGAAGTGTTAGAGAAAATTTTCGAGAAGGATAATTCAACCTTATGATACCTGTGAAAATTTGAATCATATTTTGTTTGCAAACCTGCTTAGGATCTTTACCCTCCAAGTCATCAGATTCAAGTACTCCCATAACTAATATAAAGTAACTCTTTTTAATATCCAGCTGATTAACTCTTATATTTGGAGGGGAGGAGGGGAATTTAATTATCTAATATTGATACCTCCTCTAAAATAGAACTAGTAAGGCAAACTGCTTACTGAAAGGCTTCATTTGTTAATATCAAAAAAAGAGTAATTCAAAATACTCACATTTAAAACTCTAATGGAATTCAGAATACAATTCTGAAGACTATATTAAATAAATGGTACCAAATAAAAATTGTACAAAAGGCAACTTCAAACAGGTAAGTTGTTTTAATACAAGAAGCATTGTTTCCCAGTATACTTCAAGGGAAAAACAAAAGCAAATTAAAAGCAAAAAAATCTCAAATTAGTGAGGGTATTCAGACTCATTCTACAATATAACATACTGCAAAACAGCCTAAGTAAATATACTACTTTGACTTGCTTGCTCTGCTGATCTCTGTATCTTTTAGCAATGACCAACAATTTGGCTATTACCTGATAGTTAGGATTATCTATCATCGGTGCTCTCCATTTTCCTTTATACTTTGGGTTATTCTTCATGGGACGCACCCACTCTCCACAACCAGGTGCAGTCTCACATTTTGCATTACGGATCTGAGGGGCTTCCCACTCCCCATCCATTTCTTCATCCCTAGAAAGAAAAAATTACAAACAACTGCTTCAAGATCAACCAAGTGTCAAACACTGGCAGTCTGAAGTCAGAGTCTATGTGTATTGTTGTAACAACCTCAGAACCCTGACCAGTTCACAGAACTTTACCCAACAGTATAAACACTTTTTTTTAAGGGGTGCTACACCTTTTTACTTAGAGGTCACATGTTCATAATTACCACAGCACGACTGACTTCAATTACATTCCTGCCTTTGCAGACAGTTTGAAAGACTTCTACCCAGGATGCTTAGAGATGCCTTTGAGACTTACAATATGATTTAAAGTTATCAACAAACTGTAGCAAATTCTTTCAAAGGGGACCTTCATATTTTGTTTTTATTTATGTATCTTCAGAAAACAAAAGGCAAGGACATGTTCATGTTTTTATTAAAGCAGTCCCTCACACCAGCAAATATTTGGCCATACCTTACACATTCCAACTTACGACCTCGAAAGACAATGAGATTTGGACTGATGTCCACAACTCATAACCTGCCACAGAAAACAGTCTTATCTGCAAAACACATTACCAATCTACACTTACCAGTCCTTTGGTTTTTTTGCATTAGGATCTGGAACATACTGTGGTTCATCATCAAGCCAACCCTCAGGCTTAACAGCATCAGGATCTTCTATTCTGGCAGGCTCATCTTCATCCCTTCAATTACAGACTTATGTTAGAAAATACAGCAGCCTGACTTTGGATCAATGTTCAAAAACATAACAGAATTAGACTCAATTATCATGAGCATTACACATACACATCTGCTCATAAATATCTGGACTATATTTACATTGTTTCATAGTGCTATTTAGTCCAGAAATTGCTGGTATCAAGTGGCAAGTGTCAGTTAGGTCTTCCCATTGAGGCTTTCCTACTCTTCCTGAGTTGCTGTAAGAACAGTAGTTCACACAGAACTAGAAATTCATTGTAAATTCAAACTATATGGTAGAAAAAACTTCTTATTCATGTGTAGTAACCTTAGTTACTATTTGCAACTATGCAGGGCACAAAATTAGCAAATAATAATTATATTTGTCTCCTTATACCCACCTCAAGTATGTTTTCAAATTTCAGTGCTTTTAGTGAAATGTATTCGAATTGTCATTAGCAGACCCCAAAATAAAACCAGTCAACTCTTTCAAGTAAGTAACCTGTATATAAAAGACATTGTAAAAATTAAAATGTTCTCCTTACCAGTCATCTGGTTTGACAGCATTTGGATCAGGTATTTTTGGTCTCTCATCCCAATCATCAGGCTTCTTATCAGTAGGATCCTCTATTTCTTTGGAAGGATTTACCGGAGGAATCATATTCTCAAGAAGACTTCCTTTACTGACAACTGTTTGGTCGATTAATATTTCAAATGTATCATCTGGTTTTAGCACTAAATTGAAGAAATATGGGAGCCATATAATTTTACAGATATATTTAACCAAAACTATAGAATAAGCATAGACTTAGTCAAATAACAGCAAACAGGACCCTCACTAGCAGAGACAGACTTCTCACTCAGGCACTGGATCTGGACACAGAACATTGCCCTTGAGGATGTATGAACAGCATCAGGCCCCCAAATATGAAACTTTGAAAGAAGAAAATTCAATTGCTGAAACACATCCAAACACATTCTAAGAGATTTTTCAAAAACCTACCAACTTGGCTAAAATTTTGTCGTTTTACTTAGAAGCACAAACAGTGAAAAAAGGAGCTCTGTCCCAAAAGGCATCTCAGCTACTAAATTACAATCTCACACTTGAAAGCATGGGAACACAAGAACTGTATCAGAAACACAGCAGAAAGATCAAAGCAGCATTTTCTATCAGGTTCTAACCTCTAACAGCCATTTTCCTCAAATGCCTCACTGCAAATGCTTACATATTTGAAGAGAATTTCCTGGATGTTAGCAAGTGTGAGTAACTGAGAAGACAAGGTCACAGAACTGAGTAATGTCAGACTCAGTATCCAGATGTATCCAGATCTATTTCTAATAAGCACTTATATATGTGCTCACTGTTTAAATAGCAGAGTCAACTGTCCATTTAACACAATGAAGATTACAAAGTAAAAGTAATTACTATTCCACTCTTAAGACAATTTTCTAATAACAGGTTAAGAAAACCACAGTAACAGTCTTGTAATAGTTTGATAATATCTGACGATGGCCTTCCAGCCTGAAATTTTCAATAGCATTAAAACAGCACAAATGCAAAAATGAAACCCCCATATCACCTTTAGGTGAACCACAAAGAACTAATTTTTAAACTCCTGTTATCAGTCACATAAATGCATTGGAATCACACAGCTCTATGGAGTCTGTTTGAACAACTGTAACAGAATAAATGCAATCCAAGTTTAAGTACCTTGATTCATAATTTCTAGCAAACAATCCAAATACAGGAATGCACGCATTCCTTTATTATTATGAGATTACCATTATCTAAAAGTGTAAGTTTGATATGGCATATACAGCAATCTCTTTTAGAAACCACTAAATTTTCCCACGGCACAGCATCTGAACATGCCTTCTGTTATTATTATTCAGTGGAAGTTCATAAGTACAGTCAATTTGGCTGGATTTGCAGCATGCCACAGATTAGCCCATTCTCTGTCTGATATTCTTCCTCAAAAGTCAGAAAAAGGGGAACAAAATTAACTTTTATTTCTCTGAAAAGTTCACTGGTAAAAGAAGAGCTGTCATATGAATTAAAACCAGCCCATATTCATTCACTTCAGAGTCTGTGCTGACCTGTTCATGCACACTGCTTCAGATGCAGGTGTTGGTGAGAAGTCAACGTGGAAAAGAGTGGTGCATGGCATGGTACAGATTTAACTGAATTCCTCTGAACTCTGACACCTTCCCAGAATATTGGGTAGTTGCACATTTTAATATCTTTCCCAGTAAAAATAGTTTTAGTATAATAATTACTGAAGGCATTTATTAGTAAAGGCTAGTCAGGGCTGATATGTTTTTTCCTGCAACTGAATATTAAGCAGTAGCATCGGAAAGCTACTTTTATGTCCTGCAGTTAAGCCCTGTCATGAAACCATTTAACCCAAATCATTAAGCAACCACCACTTGGAATTAACAAGCTATTACAAAGACTCAATTAAAGAGCTTCAGCAGACACAACCACATTTTTAATCTCTCCAATATAAGAATTAGAATTCCATTTTAAAGAATTGAACAATACCAAGAGTATATAGATGTGTCTTCTTGTCCAAATAGAATTTCTTTAGGTCTACATCAGGACGTACAGCATGTTTTTCATCATATTCTCCAGTTTTAGGATTCTTATGTCTGAAGATAAAGTGTAGTTTGTAATCTTCTCCACATTTATCTGGTCCAAACATAATAGTGTAAGGTGTTTTGTCAAAAAAGTACTCCTGTAGAAGCAAGAAAGCTGAGCATGTGTTATACTGGACATTTTATTATGTCACTTTTGGTACTTCTTTTTCTTGGCATAGACCATAGTTACCTATTTCCAAAAGGTAAATGAAAAGTGGTAGGGTAAATCATGAAAGGAATTCAACACTCCTCTGGAGCTGTTGGGTGCTCTCTGTTTTCAGGGAATGGACTAACTCTCAGTCTCTTCAACGAAGATGAATATATTTATAGATTTAGACTTTATGTTATGTAGGAATGCCTGTTACAAATCAAAACACTCAAGTATCTCTCTCCCTCTACAAACATTACACTAAAAGATGGAAGGGAACTAGATACTGTTCTTCCTAATAATTTTATTTTCCAATAAAGATAAACCCTAGAATATTAATATCCATATTTTATAAGTACCTTTTTCTCTCCACATTAAGTAACAGCAACAAAAACCCCTGAAAATATCAGATATAGTTATTCTCCTTCAGAGTATGTTGCGTTACACAGTTATGTCAGTATCTTTTAATATTTATATTTTCTGTATTTGGAATACACAGTAACATGCATGTGCTGATCAGTAAAATTGTTTTACAAGTTCTGAGTTAAGATTCTATGGCTTATATTAATACAGAAAGTCATACTAAACATACACAAAAGTCCTCTGTCCTGGATATCAGACACCACCCAAGCTGTCCTCAAATGAACAACTGATAGCAAATATTAAGCAAGAGGACATACCAGATTCAAGTCATTGCTACTGGAGAGAAGTTTAATATATGCACCGCCACAGTCAATGCCTTTTTGGAAATTCACTTCGTATCTGGGCAAAGAGGAAGTCACAAAAACATTCTGAGTATCAGAAAAATATTAATTAACTGCTAATCTGCAGTTCTAATTATGACTTTATTAAGACTGCATATTAGTACCTACTGTCAAAACACTTATAAGTAAGCAAAATGTTTTAACTTACTAATACATACCAAGTAAAAAATCTGAAGGATTACTTACTGAACAATCAAAGGTTTATCTTCAAAAACAAATGCCTTTGTTAGCATTGATGAAATTGCATGATACTTTGCCACTGATTTTAACACTAATCCTCTGTCTCCAGGCAGTGCATTTTCTTTCAGCTCTTCTACTTCCCATCTTCCTAAAACAGACATGCACAGAGTCTTTGAAAAATGCAGTCTGAAGTAAAGAAATCACAGCCTTACTGAAAGCAAAGAGCAACAAATAAAGACTAGTTGCCAAAGTAGGGCAGAAATGTTGGCATCTGATACAAAGATGTTATTTCTTGTTCTCAAATTTACAAAAATCTGTAAGTAAACTTTATTACTGTACATCTGTATCTTTAGGTTGTGGTATCCTACAATGGCTAGAGGAACAAAGTATTTCTCCAGAGTTTAGATTTACTTCTACCATCATCACATTAAAAACATTAGTCACAAAGCACTGTGTAAAGCTAAAAACCTGCATCATTACTTTTTTCTGCTTACATAAAATTAGAATCTCTTGAGTTAAATCTAATCACAGGGCAGATGAAGTTCTCTCCTCCTCCCCAAAGTCTTTCCAGGAATTATCAGATTTGGTCCAAAACAAGCCTACCACTTTGAAAATAGAAGATTTTATATTTATACATCCTCCAAGTTTGGGATAAATACAGTTGAATACACACTTGCCCAATATCCAAAGAACAAGATTTCTTCTAAAAGGGCAGTTACATTTGCTCCAAGATTAACAGGACAAGATTCACTGGTTTTTAATCCAGGAAAGAACACAGCACAAAACACCCTACTTTTACAATCCACTGTAATTTTGAAGAATGCCTGTGTCAAATGTAAAAAAGAAGAAAACATAATGAGATCCTCAGCTTGTAATTTAGACAAGATTCATGAATTGTGATGTGCAAATGAAACAGCGATTTACTTTTATTCAGCTGAAGTGTGATTAGTAAAAGTTGTTAAGGAAGGGCAGATATGCAAGTCAACAACAAATTCCTAGTTTCTTCTAGCCTCATAGACAGGAAGGAGGAGAATTCTATCCTCTTCAATAGTGCTCCTTCCTGGAAACTAAGGCCAAACAATAATGCAAGGCAAAACAACAAGACTGGAAAAAAGAATTGGAAAGTAGCTCAAAAATGTGTCTTTATCACAGACTTTATAAAATGTTGAATTTTCTGACTTCAAGCAAGTATGACTGTTCTGACATTAAAGACAATTTTTTTATCTAATATGAAGCCAAGTAGTCAGAGAGACCTCATTTCTCATAAATATCTCATCTGTGTGGCTATCTCCTCTGCAACTTCTTAATTTTACTAATTTAATTTAGAAACACCAGTTCTACTCTGTACTGCAAGTTATGCTTGCTTACCACTTTTTATTAACATAATTGATTTCATTTGAGATAAGAACAGTAGCACATACTTCTCTGTTGCAATAGAAACTTTTTCTCTTCTCCCCACTCCCTCTCAAATGAAATAAAACTCAGGTTGCCACAGATCATGCAGCTGCCAAAATTTTAAGCGGCCAATGCTAGACTAGGAAATCACAAGTGTAAACTGCAATGATTAAACCATCAGTACAACGTTTTCATTATTGCTTTCCAAATATGTTTTTGGCTACTCTAAGACTACACTGTACAAGAACCACTGAAGAGCTCTACATTCCTGCACAGGCAATCAGAAAAAGTATTTTAAAAAAATATCATGCAGTTTTAACTTTCTTGTTTCAGAGGCTATACCAAGAGACCAATCCATGAATCAGTAGTAGGACAGATGGAGCAAAATGGAACACAATGCTTTAGAAAACTGTTTAACAACTGAAATTTAAGTGGTAAATCTCTCTCACAGGATTTCAGAGAAGACAGTTCTAAAGAAACAATACTCATAAACAAATAGTATTAAATATGCAGTTGCCAAAGGGTATTCTGGTACCATCCATGGCAATACCTTGTTTGAATGACAAAAAAAGTTATATTCACACTAAGTAACCTAATGAGCAACATTTCACACCTCAGTTTCAGGATAACAGTCATTATACAAACTAACATTTTTGACCTATGCATTCTAGACATTCAAAGATAAGTCCTGCGTCATTTCTCAAATAAATAGTAGTTATTTCTCAAAAAGCAACAGAACATCACAAAATACATAGTGGAGATAACCATTAAAGCTGCTTACCATCATATTTAGCAACGTTATCATCTGTGTCTTCTTTCAGAGTTACAGAAAATACCCACCTAAAAAAAATTGTACTGGTCATTGATCTATCTAAGCAAAGCTGTGTTATTTAACAAACAAAGGAAAAAAGCTTTTGCTTCTAGGCTGTGAACCTGTAATACTGATTTTGAGTCAGCATCATGGAACTGCATGTAGTTCAAACAACATGCAAAGAAAATTTAAAGGACAGTTTGATAATAATTGATATTTGACAATAATTTGAAATTAAAATTTCAAAATATTGCTAAAAATGTCTAACTAAATTAAAAGTTAAATTAAAATTCTAAAGTCTATTAAATGTCTAAAGTAATTAAATTCCAAATTATTTAATTCTGAATAAACTTTAGTTTTATATACAAGTTCAATTTGGCAGAATGTAATATGCATTTAATGTAAAAAATGCACAGAAAATAGCAAGTTTCACATATAATACCTTCATAGAGGAAATAATACCTTTCAATAGAAAAGAAAATCAGCCAAAAGGAACCTTAACTTTATCTGACTGTAATAGTACACATGCGTAGCAGAGGACAAAAAGGAATGGTAAGTGACAAATGCAAGATTCCAAGTTTACTGCACACAGGAGATCCAACAAGGCTGATGGCCTAGATTCTATGAGCAAGGCAAACTTGGCTATCTCATTAAGGTTATCACAAGATATGCACAATCTCCATACGAAGTGTTCCTCTGGACAGGTAAAAGAAGAAAAGGGCAGTCCACCCTCATCTGGACATATGGCAGTTCTATCTGGAGTGATGCACAGGAATATCTTAAGCCAACAGTGCTGCTGAACTCTCTATTGTATCAACCACAAGAATACATTCTAATAATTTATTCTGGAAAGAACTGCTTTCATTCATTCTGAACTATCCTCTGCATGGCGTGATTCAGGGATGAATACTTTCTCTTTTCTGCTTGAATTGCAGTCACATTTGTCCACTGTTAACAGAGATGCTGGAAAAGCTTCACAGTATAAATAGCAAACTAGATCCTTGGCCTGCTAGGAGAGAGATCAGTGAGGACATAAAACCTCTCTACAAGTTATGTGAAAAATTTTCAAGGCCCATTCTCAAAAACAGTTACTGTATTCCTACCTAGTCAATTTATATATACTTTTTTCCACACTTTAGGGAAGAAAGGCAGCGTGCTGCTTACTTTCTCATAAATCTTTCTTCCATACTCCTTAGTCTTATGTAAATTATGCACAGCTAGACCAAAAAAATCCCAAGCACTGTAGCTAAGACTTTGAACATTAGATTTAGTACGAAGACCAACTAATCTTTGAACAGCTCTCTACAAAGCTAGAAGCTTGGATAAATGATATCATTCAAGCATCCCAGCTAAATATTTGCATCTGTTAATCAAGGTTTTCAGTGGTTTATTTGGTTATTTAACAAGCATTATCACCTTTTCTATCTAGTAATATTTTCTGTCATCATAGGTGTTGATTTTGCACTTAAAATTAAGAACTGACACATACCTAAGATCACGTGAAGAGTTTGCTACTGAACTGGCTAAATCTTTATATTATTTTTCTTAATGTCCACAAATCCAGAGTTTATTAAAAGCATCCTTGAAACACACAGAGAAAAGTAATATATCAGACATGTTAAATGTCCAGTTTAACATTATGATGTATTTGGAGCAAGCATTAATAGTCTTCCCAATTTAATCGCCATAAAAATAATTTTTATAAACAAAGTAGCAGAAAAATGAATACAAAATGAGTCCTGCCACTGTAAGTTAAACTGCTCAAAGTAAAAGTTTATCATTTTAAGACATAAGCTTACCCCGACAATCCTTCATCAAAGGTTTCTGTAAAATATACTTCCCCAGTTGGCTTTGGAGTCTGGTACACAACCTAAGAGATATGTACAGATAAATTACAATTTTTCATTTGAAATACACTCTCATATATCCAGAAGTAATCCACCCAGGCAGACCAATAGATTTTGTTCATTAGAAATACCTAGCAGCATAAACCCACCTCTCCCTCACCACATTTCAATAGTTTGTGTGTATCCCTCCAAACAGTGAGCAATTTCACATCTCTGAATTTTAGAAGGTGCTTCCTCTATTCAAAGCTCATAACTAAAGCTTTGTTACATTTTCTGTTAAATAAAACTCAAAAAATTTTTCTGAACTTGCACCAAATCTGCTTCCTCCCTGTTTCTTTCTTTATATGTTTTCCATTCTTCCATTTTCCCATCTATTGCCTACATCTGTTTTGAAGAATAGCATACACAGTTTCTGGCAATTAAAGACAGTGACAAAAGGCAGCTGTGATGAATGAAGTCAAGAAACTGGTCTAAAGTCAAAGTCTCAGTGAGACCAAGGTGCTTTCATTTACTTCTTTATAAGTGGCACATTACAACTTGCAACAAAAGGTTCTGTATCTAGATTGAAGAAAAACCTTTTTCATGACGCTCGACCCTTGGCAGGAGATTTACACTTGGGCATACAAGATTTATTCATTAAGTTTGCCCTGTATGTCACATATAGCAAGGGAAAAACTCAGACTGCCATATTTGAGACCCACTCAATTGTCAAATGCAGATTAACTTGCCCTAGTTATAACTATGCATCTTTTATTTAACCAGCTTACCTCCAGAGAAGATTTATCTCTGTCAACATCAGCTTCTTGGGACTGCTTGTCAAAATTCTCCACTTCAACATCTGCATCCAGATTTTCTTTGTTTTCCATTCCCACAGTCACTGAGCTAATTATCAGGACACCCAAGCACAGCCAGTCCCACTGGAAGTGCATCTTGGTTATCTGAAGAATTTAAAGTTTTAGAATTTAAATATAATTTCAAGGATATTATTAATACTATTTCAATTTTACCCCAGACTTTATCTAAAAGAGGAAAAACTACCATTAAAATAATGAGAAATAACTATCAAGAAGTGTTGTCGCTATAATCTGATCTTAATTTGCTTTAAATATTTTTTTTATTAATGGGCCCTGACTCAGACTCTCTTTTCCTTCCTGTTTTCCCTATGGAAGTACCTGTAACCTGTTCCTTTGTTCCTTTTAGTCCTTGCCAAATCTAGCAAGACTCTCACTGTAATATATATGCTTTTTAAGAACTAAGCAAGACTGCTTTTATTTTTCTCATTTGTAAACAACCTGAACAAGCAATTAAATTGAATTAAATTGAAGTCTCTACAATGCAGCAATAAGTACCATTCTTTTCATTAGGAAAAAATAAATTACATATTTAGGATATATTATTATCCACTGTCAGAACTGCACTTCTATTTGTCCCTATTTCCAATGACTACATTTAGGTGAGTGCAGAGTGTATACTGGCTCCAGCTCTAAGTGCCAAAAGAAAGTCTAAGATGGTTTCAGAAAGTATTTTATGAAATTATGATCCAATAATTTTCAAGTTTAAATTAGGTAGAGCAAGAATTTAAGCTTAAATGCAAATACTCTCCTAACTTCAGGGAAACCCGAAAAACTTTAATCTGCTATTGCCAACAGCTGACTATTGCTCCAGCCTCTCAATCTAATCTGCTGTGAAATGACTGTTGCCCAGTATTTTTTGCTCCACATCTGGAAGATGTACAAATCCAATTTCATCCTAGAGTATCCAGTGTTTTGAAGAAGTGCAGTGTCAAAAATACCTATGCAAGTTTCCTCAAAAGTCTTGCAAAAAAAGACTTGAAATTATTTTTGTCTGAATTTGGAAACAGAATGAAGACAGATTCTAGACACCGCTGCATGGGTATTTGTCACTTGTTTCTTACTAATTTATATTCACAGTGAGCTTAAATAAATGCTGGTATTTATTTTGCTATAGTAAGATATTTCAAGCCTTGCATTACTTGTAGTCACTACTAGTAATATTAAAAGCTCTGGTGCTGAGGTACCTTTTGCACCTGAGAAAGCAGCCACCCTCTCAGTTACATCATCACTCCTTAGAGATTAAATTGTTTACCACTACAACTCTAAATAACCCAGCAATTATAGATACTATCTTATATTAAAGTGTGATTATCTTTCTTCCTTTCTGGCTTTATCAAATTTGATAAGCAATTAAAACATTGTAACTGCACCAATAATTATTTAATCATTCATTTTTTAACACCTGCAGGTTTTATCAAGCAACACATATAGAGATCAAACAGTATCAGGGCTTTATTTCTTTTAAGATCTATTATTTTTATATTAACTGCACTGATTATATAGCCAGGATATATATAAAATACAGGATTATCATAAATAAGCGTTTTCACACACCAGTTCTATGTCAATACTAGGACATAATCAAAAGCCTCTTTTTTTGGGACTAACACCTATTTCCCACAAAAGTACATGAATCATACTACTCTTCCTTTTTTCTCCCCCACTACTATCCACAATGCCTGCCATTCTTTGGATTTTACAACCTTGTTTGAAGATAGCAAGTCTGTGGTTCCCTCTTTTTTTCAGGTGATACATTTCAACAGTTATCTGCAAATTTTACTAGTTTTGTATTTGACTTTTTTTTAGGCTAAAACTAGAAATTTTGTAAATTCATAGACCTCCTCAGCAGTTCTAGCACTTAAAATAATCTTGCCCTGAAGATTTAAAGTAATTGAGTTTATCACAGGTAAACATTTAATCTTAAGGTGTATTTTTGAACGCCTTTGTCTGAGGAGTATCAGTTTTACCAATTCCATCATCTTGTTCCTTAACCATTGTTATTAGGACAAGCACTCAAAGAATTCCATATCAATACCTTCTGGACTCCGTAGCTCCTAGCTAAACTGTCAAATATTAAACAAGTATCACACTTGCATTTTTAGCACATAGCTTGCCTACCTTACCTTTGCTAGTTTGTCATGCACATGGTTGCTGCTTCTCCTAAAGCAGAACAAGAGGTACAACTTTCTCTTCTAGTACATTTCAGGTGTGTTTGTGTATGATTCACAATGCTTTTCACTTACGTAGCTGAAATTTTACTCTAATTAGCCCCATTCACTTTTGTTCCATACACAGACTAACACAGGCATCCAAGAAGTACTCTAGTACTAGTATTCTAGTACACTAGTACTCATCTTTCCAAACAGCTCCATTCCAAAATTTCTGATGCTGTCACATTGTTCCCACTGAATCTTACCACTACTCCCTGATCCTACCTAGGACTACCCTAATTTCCTTCAGCTTTCAATTATATCTCTTACTTCTTCCTTCAAGAAGAGAGGGAGCATTTAATTTTGACCTTTTAACATACTTCTAAAATAGTCCCAGAAATGCTGAAATATGTTATCAAGACCAATTAAAGTTAACACTCAACTGCCAGGCAAAGATGGTTTTAACCAGCCCATGACATCTTTCACTTTGGTGAACTCTGCCACACTACAGTCTTAGAATATAAAATAAATCTTCCACCTAAACCAATGAGTTTATGGTCTCAAAACAGAACTTCACACCACACATTTAATTATCTTTAAAACCTACTGAACTTTCCTAAGTAACGCATGAAGACCTACAAGAAACTTTTCTTACTCTATTTTCAAGGTGGCAATGAAAATAAGCCAAAAGGATTCCCACTGTTACAATTTCCTCAGCAGAACAAAGCAAATTGAAAGAGTCTATGGCTCTCACATAACACCAAACATATTTACTAGCGGTCTTGTCAATGCATCTAAGTTCAGACCTGTAATTTTAAACATATATTTTGCATAGCTTGGTCACTTTTTAGCATGGGTAACCACAGCACAGCTACACATCAGCAGGACATTTACACCAGCAGTAGTATTGCACAGCATGCTCCAGGGACCAACAACAGTGCTGCAACATCAGAAGAATATTGCACCTGAAGTAACAAGCTGCTTCTTCTGAGACACAGACCAGTATTGATAAAAGACAACGGCATAAGCTGTAAAGATAGTCTGACTGGATACTAGAATTTCTTTCCCCACACGGACAGGCAAGCAGCAGTAGAGCCTGCCTAGTCTCAGTCCTTGGGCTTTTCCAAGACAGTATAGAAAAAAATCCCTAAGCAAGCTGGACCAGCCTCAGGGCTACCTCTGTTGCAAGCAGCAGGTCAGGAGAGACCTCAAGGTGTCCCTTCCCACCTGAACGATTTGATTTGGGTTGCATGGTGTAAATGTGTCAACCTTTGTACCTCTGTACCACGGTGTATCATATACATGCCATAAGTTAGCAGCATCATTATTCCATTCACTGCAGAACCTAGTAAGAGGTCAGGATCTTTTAGATTACTAACTTTTTCTTGGATTTTGAAAACAGTCATGCTTTTTCCATGTAACTCGGAGAGTTCTGGATTCTCTAGCAGAAAGGGAGTAAGACAGCTGTTCTCACTCTGAAATCCAAAGCTCCTGCATCCAGTATCAATATACTGGCTTTTCACAGGGCCAAATTAGAGAATTACATCAGAAATTCACCAATTTCATCCAGGGATGAGAAAAGTGGAGGATATTTCACACCCCCTTTCTTCCATCTGCAACCATGAGCTGCTTTATGCCCCCCCTCATTGGCATCAACCTGACATAACATCCAGCTGTAACTGGAAATGTTGTGTAAGTGGAAATGCATGCAAGAATTCCTCCACAACTTTAATTTTTTCCTTTATTGGGTGTGAAAACTGTACCTCCCTCGCTTTACCCTTAGTGTTAAGCACCCTGCACTGGGATGGATGCCGAATGCGAAGTTCAGCAGTTACTCCAGCCACAACGCTGCACTCCCGCAGGCGCCTCGAGATATTCTGCTGCTACACGGAGCTCGACTAAAACCTTCAAGACCCTCTTTCCCAATTAAAAAATCCAGACCTTAGGGACAAACGGCCACCCGGTGTTGTGTCAGCATGCGACACGAACCTGCTTTTTGGGATACCTCGAAAGGAGAACCAAGGCCGCAGGAGCTCCGCCCGTCGTTCACCCGCGACTCCGCGCTTCTCCTGCCCGGCCTCGGGGAAGGGGCCGAGCTCCCGAGCCCTCCGCTGCGGCGCCTCCCCCATCCCACCCTCGGGACCCGCCGCCGTGAGGCAAGGGCGAGCCGGGGGCGCCACCGCCCACCGGGGCCACCACCCCCTCCCCTGGCCACACGGGATGCACACGCACCTCCCGCGGGGCTGAGCGCCCGCCGCTTCTCCCGGCCCGGTTACCGAGCACGGCGAGGCCGCTCCTCCCGCAGCGGGCGGTTACCGGCGGTGCCGGCGCTGTGGGGCCCGTGGCGGGCGGTTACCGGCGGCGGCAGCCGGAGCCGGGCCCGGCCGCTCGGCCCGGCCGCTCGTCCCGGCGCATCCCCGGCCGCGCACGCGCGCGGCACCCCCGCCGCTCTCGGGAGCGCGGGAGCAGGTGCCGCGGCTCGCGCCGCGCCGCGCCGGCCAATCACGGCACGCACGGCATGGGCGAGCAGAACCGCCGCGCGTGGGGAGGCGGGTGACGGGCAGCAAGCTCCGCCAATCGGAGGCGCCCGGAGTGAGGCCGGACCAATGCGCGGCCGGATCGCGGCTGTCGGCCCGCCCCGCGCGGGGCGCGTCAGCCAATCGCTCTCCGCCGCCGGCCGGCCCCGCCCCTCCGCCTTCCGCGGCGCTGAGGGGAGTTTGTTGTTATGGCCGCCGCCCACCGCCCATCCCCGCACGCCTGCAGCCAGGGAGCGGCAGGATAAAGAGTTTTCCAACCTGTAACCTCGAGTTAACGAAACCCTTACTTCCAGCTGGACGCTCACCCTGACGCTTGAACATACGTGCCGCGAAGCAGAGCGAAATAAAAACATTTTAAATGAGTTACTGTGAAAAACGCCAATCACTTGTTTTTTAGAATTTTTAAAAGTTTAAGAATAACAAAATGGTTATAAAAATAGCAATACAGTTAGAGTAATAAAAATTTAGAGTTAGGGCAATTACAAAATAAAAAGCAAAGAATTACGGACGTCCTTATGTTTTTGGATACTAAGCTGCTGTGAAAAATACATATTTTATGATTGGCTTTTCACAAATATTAAAATTAATATTATATGTGGAATGTTAGAAAGTTATGATGTACTAATTCTCTTAAATAGTGTGTTAAATATAGTTTTAGGTTACAACATAATGTTAAAATAGAAACTCTGTGATGTACGATTTTTTTACTAGCTCAAGCAAGGGATAAGATAATCAAGAAACTCTTCACACAGAGATAACAGCAACAGGACAAAGAGTTACAGGCCTCTTATCAGAAAATACAAACATTCTTCTACCTTCTCTCTGTCTTCATGGAACCACCAGGATTAAGGGGAAGGAGTTGACAAAAACCAGAGAAAGGCACGCTTGTCATGGTGTAAGTGCCCGAGAGCGTCCGGACATCCGTAATTCTTTGCTTTTTATTGTCTTGTAATTGTCCTGACTCTAAATTTTTATTACTATTACTATTTTTATAATCATTTTATTATTATTATTAAACTTTTAATATTTTAAAAACCAAGTGATTGGCGTTTTTCACAGCTGCCAAAAACATGCCTTGTGAACAAAGGAATAGCCCTTAAAAGCAATAACCTGTTGCATATTCATATATCTCATACATGATGCATAAATTCCTTGCAAATTAAGAATTTTTCTGGTTTTTGTCAACTTGTTTCCCTTAATCCTGGCAGTTCCATAAAGATGGAGAGAATGTGGAAGGATGTTTGTCTTTTCCAATAAGGAGGCTGTAATTCTTTATGTGCCCTGTCACTGTTATCTCTGTGCGAAGAAGTTCTTGATTATCTTATGTCTTTTCTTGAGCTAGTAAAAGATATCTTAAATCGTGGAGTTTCTATTTTAACGTTATGTTATAACCTAAAACTATATTTAGCACACCACGTAAGAGAATTTATACAGCATAACTTTCTAACATTCCACATATAATATTCATTTTAATATTTGTGAAAAGCCAATCATAAAATATGCATTTTTCAGTTACTAAAGCCAAGTTTGTATCTGCCTCTTATCCTGAAGACAAATGTTGGCATGCCTTTGCAAAAATCCACAAAAAGATTTAAAAGGAGAATGGAGACACATTATTCAAAGAATTGAATAACTGTGCTTTAATGAAAATCAAAAATGTTTGAATAAACCATTATTAATATTGAGCTGTTGAAAGTTGTATGTTTCTTAACTAATTTTTAACTAGTTGTTTTAATTAATTGTAAGCAATGCCTGCTTTTAGCCAGCACTGCTTTTCTTCACAGACTCTTACTGTTACTGTGATCCTTAAATCAGTGATACCTTAAATTTGCTAAAACTAACCCGACAAGCTTCATTAAACAGAGCCAAAGGGAACTAAAGATTGGACAACTGGGATCTTAAGTTTGTGGCCCTTCAAGGATATTGAAGTAACCAGAAGATAGAGAGGGGATTAATAGCTGAAAAGTTGGGGACTTCCCATCTGAGAAAAAAATGATAAAAAGGCTAAAAAAAGGTGCACTAAATCAGCCTGAAGAGCATAGTATGAATAGAGGATAGAATACTAATTAATGAAGAGAATTATGTAACTTGGAACCAATGAGCACTAATTCCTGTCTTTGCTAAAAATGTACAAATAAGTGACAGAGTTTTGTATCTGTGCCAGCACGAAGCTAAAACTCTGTCAGCCACACATACCTCTCAGCCAAGAATAAAGTAATGCCTTACTCCCTAACAATAAAATGGTGAGTGTTGAGGGAGTCTTATTTTTCCCAGTGTTTTTGGAGGACTTTAGTAATGGAACTAGCTTGAAAATTGTGGTTTCTTACCACACAGACATTTAACATGATTAAGTATGTTTACAATAAGCCTGGGGTAGACCTTCTTTTTGAGACTTAAGTTTTAAACCACATGAAATTACTGAAGTAAAATTTCCCACTCAGTGAGCCTGGTGATCTGGTTTGTAATGTGAAACTCTTCTCTGAGTTTTTTTTTTCACTTATGGTTTACCACCTTTGGTTTTTTAGTTACATTCACAATGCCTGGACTTCAATACAGTCACTCATACAGTCAGAGGAAGTTCCTTATTCCTGGGACCTGAACTGAGCCTTTGATCTGGCCTCAGAGCCACTGAGTGTGAAGGTTCAGTGCCCAAGATTATTACACAAAAACCACAGGTGAGATCTTGCTTGCAGGATGGAAAGGAAGCTGCAGGTGTTCTGTAACCACTCCTTGGGAACACACCCAGCTCATTCCCTGGCTAGTGGTGGCTGTTGCCAATAACACACAGACGTATTCAGCTATTGCTGAAGTATTCTTCCACTGCACTCCCTTGTCATAAACTTCCTGGGGCTGGAATACTTGCTCTTCCTCAATTGCTTCTTCAGTGAAAATCCAGAATTCCTCTTAGGAGGTTCCTTTGATTTTATAGTGGAGCCGTGGAAGAAACCTCTGTGACTGTGCAAGAAACCTCTGCTCTTGCAAAAGCACGGGGAAGAATTAATGGTTCTTGTGAAGCAATAATTATTCACAGCATCAAGTAAAACCTCATTTACATCAGAGTGATGAGAAGGGTATTCTGTGATTGCAACGGTATCAGAAACAAGCAGTGAAGCACCAAGCTGGCAGCACAGAATGGAAAATTTCATTTTATAAGATTTTTTAAGTCCAGTAATTTCCTAATACAATTTCAAGTATTCTGATGAGCTTCTGCCGAAAGTACGCTTCAACAACTAGAGAGAAATCTAATTTTGCTGTGAAAATTAGATGTTTTGGTAGCAAAATCTATTATTTTGGTATATTCTATACTTTCACTGATTTAAATAATTGCTTTGGAATCTCCTTCTTAGTGACACTGCCCTGTAACAAGTAAATGTAAGGCACCCTGAATGCAGACACTACTCCCAACAGCGAATCTGTTGCAGTGAAAGCAATGGCAAAATAAGGTTTTATATTTTCACTGTAAGTGCTGAGGAACAAAGGTGTCTCCCAGCATACCTCTAGGCATGCTGGATTACTGCAGCAATTTTTAACTGGCATTAAACTCCTAACCTAACGAAGGCTACAATAGTGGTTCCAATATATGGATGTATGCATATCTACACGCACACATATTTAGCACCACAGTATATAAACAATCCTGAACATAAAAGTTTAAAAAAATAAAGTAAAATAAACAACAAACCTCCAAGCAATATTATCAAAATATTACTAGAGGTTGTCTTTGAAGAAAACACTCTTCTGAACTGTTTTAATGTAAAAAAATCAATCCCATCTCATTGTAAATGAAAAACACTGTGGCATTAGGAATACAACTCTACATTAATGTAACCCATTCAACACAAATCCAAATATTGCAGTTTATTTCCTGCTGTCAGGAAGCAATGCCTGTGCAGGGGAATGAGGGTGCAGTCGTGCTTCATGTGCTAAGGAAGTGATTCCAGAATTCTGACCATTAACAGGTAGATGTCAAAGGTAGATTTTAATTTCCCAAAAATTTTTCAAATGAGATTACTGTGGTTTACTCTTTATTTTCAAATTTAAGTTGAATTTGAACTTGTGACAAGGATTGAAATATCAATACATCAGATATCAGTAATATCAGATTATCTAATAACAGGATCCAAAATTGTATTTAAATATAGATTTTATTTTTACAAAAATATAGTTACCATAATACCCTTATTTCCTGTAATTAATTAAATGCACAATTCACTGAGAAGTTTTACAATTTTCCAAAAAATACCCGTTTAAGTTTCAAGTTATTCAAATGATAATTTGTAGACAATTTTCATTTTAAAAATATTTAACATAACTTATACCACATTAAGGCTTAAACACATTTATATTAAGTTTTGAGATAAATTTTCATAACATTAAGTTGTTCCTATGAATTACTTTAAATACTTGAAATTAATATTGACAACATTTCCTTCACTTCTAATTTCCCTACAAAACTGACTAGTGTTTTTAATGGAGTTGAATGCCATGTCTTTAATATTTTTCAAAAATGTCTGTATTTTTATTTCTGGTGAAACTTTTTATACCTTTATGCTTTAGTCCCTGAGGCAGGCTGTAACACCTTATCAATTGTTTATAACAACATCTATTTAATCACTCAGACTAAGGTGAAATTTTTTTTATATGACATATTACTAAAGAACATTTTACGGAAATTACTAGCATTCTTTTCATATACCTTGTCATATAAAGACCTGAGATTTATCTCAATTCTTTCCTAATAGAGAGTATTAATAACTAAATGGGTATGGAATTGATCTTTTGACTCAGTCATTTGTTTGCTTGTTGTTTTGTTTTCTATGGGTTTTTTTGTCGCA